ATTAGATTTCGTCGTGCCTTAATAGTTTTAAATTTTCTCCATTAATTGTCAAATTTGAAACTTGTTGTTTCCAACGACAAACGTAATCTATGCAGTGTTAGTTTAGACCTCACGGTGCTAATTGATTTTGCTTTCTTTTTTTCTTTTTTCTTTTTTGGGTTTTTTACTACGCTGTTGAAAAGTCTATTTCCCATTTTTCTTATACAGAAGAAACAAAACCTTAATTCTGACATACATCTGTGTGAGATGAATTGAAAAATTTAGTGTACAGTTTTTCATACATATTTCCAAGAGAGAGTTTCATTTATAATCACTCAGCTCATCGTTGTATGTTTGGACTTGATGTGCTGTATTTCCGGGAATATTTCAGCTTTGATGTTTGCTCCTTTCGTGCAAGTTTAGTAAAGTGCTGCATAGGAATTTCTCTTTGTTGTCTTATTGTTTGCCGTGTCCAGTAACTTTATTTTAAAAGAATCACTAGGAATCTGTTTACCTTAAAGGGATTTTGAAACTGAATTAGTTTCTGACCACGGCATTCACGATATTTCTGTTAGATTGAAAATCAACCGAGCTGTATTTTCATCCCTAGTGTTAGCAAAGGAGAATTTATATTAGTTGTGTAGAACGTCTTTAGTACAGAAGTAAATAATCACTAAGAATGTACTATATACGAATTTAGCCTTATTCTATTTAAAGGTAAATTTGTGGAAAGGTAAGGAGTAGGTTTAACAAAAACTTTTTCGTACAGGCTTATGTGCTTAACGTAACCTTCGTAATTGCTAATAATCATGCAGGTGACACACTTATCCTTCGTCATGCTTATTTACTAATATTGTTTTGTACGTACTGAGTGTTATGACCCTGCTTTCAGCTTGCGTAATACTACGATTAGCGCATAGTAAATCTTTTAGTCTGTACCCACGAAACTTTGTCCGTATTCATATTTGAGTATTAAGACTCACAGTGTTTGTTTATAACGTGCATGATAATCACACGTAAATTTTATTTAAACCTTTGTTTCTTACTTTATGTTAAAAATTACCAGATAATAACGAAAATGTAAATCTTTAAATTCGTGGAATATGAAGTAAGGGGTATAATAGGTAGGAAACCCAACCTAGTTTTAATACAGAAATGTGAATTAAGTTATTGTTATCGCATGTACGTAACATTCTAATTAACTGTGGTTTTCTACATTAGATCTTCTTTTTCGTTTGTTATGACTTCATAGTTTTTAACATCTACCCGAAATAGAACATGTACGAGAGAGAGTTCATTCGCTTTTAAAGTATTCATCACTCCTTAACCCATTGTCTCATTCCCCTTCATTAGCTTAATTCAATTTCACACAAAAGGCCATTTTTGTCATATCTCTCTTTCTTCTTAATTTTAATCTTGTTTCATTTCTTGGAGACAAAAAATGGTTTTCCTCTCGAGGGGATTTTTTGGGCATTGCGAAACTTTTTCTATGTAACTCGCAGACGGACGGACACACAGTCTCACTCTCTGCTATAGTTAAACGCAACATTGTTTTCAAGTATTTCATAGCAATATTTTGTTGTTTTCTTCCATTGTGTCCCTTCTCCCTTTCTTTTACCGGTATTCTGTTCTCTTCTGCTCTTCTGCCTAAGACTTGTACTTATATTCATTCTTATTTTGGAGATTATTTTCTTTCCCTGTATCATCCAAATCACTTTTATTTGTAAGAATTCTTTTGTACTTTTTATAACTCCTCATCTTCTTCTATCCGATGTTGAAAAATGAGACAGGCGCCTCAAACTAGGAATGCAAAACAGTCGGAAATTACTAAGTTACAAGGAAAGCTACCACAGGCCAGCTGCAATGCTTCTAACATTACGGAATCATGAAATATGTTTTATTAAAGAGCTCAGAGACAGCGCATTTAGTGGATATAAACTCTCTTCTTCATTCTTCTCCTCTCCCCCCCCCTTGAAATGCATACTGAATACCCTTTTCTTCTGCAAGATAAATCCCACCAACTGCAAAATGTGAACAAGTAAGTAGATAAGGAGAGATCTTGCTACTAACGTTTATAAAGCTGAGTAGTATTTGTAGTGTTTGGTTTAGAAGTAGAGCCGAGCGAAAGCTTACTGACGTTTCAGCTTGTGATTCTCTGATTGCCGCTCTTAACTAAGTTTAAAAGTTGATAGTTACTCGGCTGTTAAGAAATGTTGCTGATTTTGTGGAACGCAAAGGTTCATTACCGTTTTCAAAGTAACC